TCATCTTTTTCACATATAAACACCTATGACGAAGATATTCCCTATCCTATACTTGTGCAACACATTTCCGAACCTTAAGGCAGGATTTTACAATTATCCATATTAAATTCCACCCAGGTTTTGGCCTATCATTCCAGCCTACTGAGATCTACTTTATGTTTTGATTTTCTCTTTTAAAACATTAGTCATTCCTTACAGATTTATGTAATGTATAAATTATAAAACATTTCCAAGCTATCACCTAAATTATTTATAAGAATGTTGAATGAGCTCTGAACAAGATCCTGTGACTCACCAACAATCCTTCCCTCAAACTAAAACCACCTCATTAATCAGCTGACCTCATAGCTTTTAATCAATGACAACTCTGTTACCATCATCCAACCCAGACTTTCTCATTTTTCAGATACTTTGCTAAAACCATGTTTACAGTTCTGTTATTCTGATATGTCTCGAAATTCTACTCAGAAAGGAAATGAGATAAGCTTGAAACAATTTGTTCTCAGCAAGCTCATTTTAATTCCAGTAATCACTCCCTTATCTCAATGATTATAAACTGTCATTTTAATAACTAATTCTAGAACTGTGTTTAGGATTGCCGGTAAGCTTAATAGACTACAGAACCCAGAATTAAATTTTTTTCTTAATCTTGGTAATTAGGAAATGTTGTGTACTTCTTTTTGGTATTATTTTTCATTTTTATTTTATTTTTTTTTATTTATTTTATTTTTTATTTATTTATTTTTGGTGGCTGGCCAATATAGGAATTCAAACCCTTGACCTTGGTGTTACGAACATCATGCTCTAACCAAGTGAGCTAACTGTTGAGCCCTTGGTATTATTTTTTTAAATGAAATATTTCAAATATACAGAAAAAGAAAAAAGTATGATAACCCACCCACCACCAAGCTTAAATATTAACTCAAAGCCAATTTTGCTTAGCTACCCCCACTTTTATTTTTAATGCCAGAATATTTTAAAGCAAAAACCTGATGTCACATCATTTTATTCTATACTTAGATATGCATTTCTAACTGATGAGGATATTTTTAAAAACACATAATCACCACCATGCCACTTTATCCCACAAAATTAACTCCTTACTATCATCTAATACNCACATAATCACCACCATGCCACTTTATCCCACAAAATTAACTCCTTACTATCATCTAATACTCAGTACTTGTATTGGATATCAGGTTTTTTAAAACTCCCCACGTCATTCTAATGAGCGGCCAAATTTAAGAATTATCTAGCTAAAAGAATTAGACAGAGTTTAAAAAAGTTTTTTAAAATCTTCATAGAAGCATCACATTGTCTCTATCGCACATAATATCTCCTTGTTCTACTTTTAGTGACACTGAGATTGTACTGGATCCGGTCATGTGCATCCTTGGATCCACCTAACCCTTGCTGTTTCCCAAGCCTCAACTATTCAATGAAGAGACCTAGCCACCCCATCTCCGAACACCACTGGTTGTCTGACTCTCCAGGAGTGAGAGCCCTACTTCAGCATGGCTTCCATTATGCCCACTGCAGCAGCAGGGAGAGGAGCTCTGGTACTTAGGTTCAAGACCAATAGGCTCTGGCTGCAGATTAATTTCTCACCCTTCTTCCCCACAAGAAATTTTTTTGAGGCACAGTGGTTCCATACAGTCTCTCTGGAGACATTTTGCATGTATGACCAAGCAACCCAGCTATATGTTGTGGATCGGTGGTCAGCTCAGTGCATCCCCCATTATAATTGCTTTCACTCCTTTCCTTTTTCCCCTACTCCTGCTGCCTTAGGACTGCACACTACAATAAAGTATAGTATATACAGACCCTGTTTTCTAGAGTAGTACTTCTCAAACATTAGTGTGCTTACAAATCATCTGAGGATCTGGTTAAATAAAATACTCATTCTATTCAGTAAGTTGGGTAGGGCCTGAGATGCTGCATTTCAGCACTGACTCACAGGTGCTGCCAATATGGCTGGTTTGGGCCCATACTTCCCATAACAAGGTTCTAGAGAACAGGCTGAATAAAAATTGGTCAATAGGGCCGGCCCCGTGGCGCACTCAGGAGAGTGCAGCGCTGGGAGCACAGCGT